ACCGAAATAAACTCAACCGGTTTCATTTCCAATCTTCAGGAGTTTGACAATACAATGCTTAGTTACACAAAATCAACATTCATATTGTGACGTCATAAAGCGTCAATACTTAGTCGCGCTTTAGCAAAGTTCATTATGACGTCATGATAATACGTACGTAAGTTATTACGGGAAATTAGATTTTTTTTATACAAATAATACAGTTATATTATGCGGGTAAAAAGTATATTTCTTAAATGAAATATAATTATGTTGCATTCAAAACAGGTTTATTTCTGTTTATAAAATGTTTTTCTTTAGTTTCACGTTCTTTTTCTGTAGTATCCCTTCGGAATTTGTAGAATGGAAAGACAGTAAAATTAGGGGTTTTATTTTTGGCACAGTTTCTGATGTGTTCGCTTACGGCGGTACACTGGTATTTTGGTTCCCTAATTTGTTGTCGGTGTACGGTCATTCTGTGTCTCAGGGTGTCTCCTGTCTGGCCGATATAATTTTCACCACAACCGGCGCAGGTTATTACATAAATAAGATTAGAACTGGTGCATGACATTGATGTTTTAATAGTAAATACGCTTCCAGTTTTAAATTGAAATTTGGATCAGGTATGGGCAAGTACTGCATCTAGGCTTGTTGCATCTATTGATGTTTGCTGGTTCATTGTTGTTAGTAGAAAAGGACGCTTTTGTAAGAATGGATTTGAAGAGACGGACTTTGTCGTTTACTCTTAATGATCTGTGAAGTTTCTAATATTTTTTTCATGTCTGGATCGTCCTCTAAAATTGGCAGATTGTTCCTAATAATGTTGAAAATTTCCGGATTTCTTGGGTTATGTGTTGACACGTATGGTATAACATTATTTACTTGTTTATTTTTCACTGTAAGTAGATCTTTTCTTTCTGGAGATTTGGCTTTGTTTATTCCGTTTTCAATCAATTGTATAGGGTAGTGTCTTTGAAGGAGTAGTTCTTGTAGTTCTGTAAGGCGAGATTCCAAGATTTCTGCATCGGAAATTATTGTGCAAAGACGTCTGGCTAAATTGTATGGGATATTATTTCTGGTGTGTCTAGGGTGACAAGAGTCAAATATTAGGTATTGTTTGGTATCTGTTATTTTGTAGAAAACATCCGTTATCAAACGGTTTTCTTTTTAATAACCATTACATCGAGAAAGGATAACTTATTACTATCCGATTCCATGGTGAATTTCAAAGTGGGGCTCAGGTTGTTGAGAATATTCAAAAATTCCATTAGTTGATCTTCACTTTTGTCCCATATGACGAAACAGTCATCTAAGTAGCGTATCCACGACTTCCTTATAAAATTTTCAAAGTCCTGCCCGAATTTTTCTTTCACGGTTAAATACAGTTTTTCCTCTAAGAATCCTAGGACAAGTGTAGCATAAGTCGGCGCAACTTTGGTTCCATTGCCGTGCCTAATTTTTGTCTGTAGACCATGTCATTAAAATGCATGAAATTATTTTCCAAGATTAATTGAAGGCTTTCTAAAACAAAGTTTTTTGGAAAACTGTCATTCAAAAGACTAGGAAATCTGTCTATCCAGTGTTCTATTGCGATGAGTCCAAGATCATGTGGAATGTTAGAATAGAGATTGGTGACATCAAATGAAACCAAAATGGATTCAGGGTTGACTTTCTCAGGAATTGTATTAAGAAAATCTACTGTGTCTCGTATATAACTTTGAACTTTGGTAACATACGGTTTCAATAATATATCCAATAGATTACTTATCCTGTGAGTTTCACATGTTGGTCCCGCAACTATGGGTCTAATTGAGAGATCAGCTGGACTTGCAACACTTATATATGTTGATCCGGAAATTTTGCATTCATCTTTAATTGTCTGGCTTTTATGTATCTTTGGCAAACCATAAAAGTTACTGGTTTTAATGTTAAATGACAAAAGATATGCGGTTTCCTTGGCAGTAAGTTTTTGTCCGTATTCATCTATGATAGTCTCGAGTTTTTGCATGACCTTCTTACTTTCGTACGTAAGTTGTTTTTCATAGTATGAACTATTTTCTAGCACAGGAAGACATATAGATTTATAATATTCACGATCCATTATGACTACAGCGCTCCCTTTATCCGCTTCCTTAATGATAATGTTTTCATAATGTCTTAAATTATCAATAGCATTCCATTCTAATTTGTTCAAGTTATTTCTGGTGGTATTATTTCTGCCGCATTGTTCGAGAGGAAAGGTTTTCACCGTATTAATAAATTTATCTAAATTTTGGTTCCTACCTTTAGATGGCATAAAATCACTTTTATTGGCTACAATAGATTCGTCATCATTTTCTTTATCCAAGAAAAATTCAGCAAAGTCGTAATCTCCTACAAAATGCGTCCGTATCATTTGTAATTTCCTCTATGTTTTTAGAGCGTGGTGTAGGGGTAAATTTTAATCCCTTTTCGAGAATTTTAACTTCAGTATCCGTAAACATTCGACTAGATAAATTAATTACTTTTGGTTCGTGTTTTTGGTCTGGTCCTTTGTTTTGCGCTACGTTATTATGTTTTGTCTTGGGCCATATCCTAAAAAAGAATTTCCCGGCGTTATATAATTTTTTCTTTTTTCCCGTTCTGCTTGTATGGTCGTTCGTGATAGGGAATCACTGGGCGTCCTTGGTTTCCGTTGTATGTCCTGGGATTACTGTTTGACGGGTAATTGAAATTGTTTGAGTTGGAATCTGTTGTAGATCCGTAATTCCTTGATTCAGGTCCACTTTGTTTTTTGGGATTGGTATTTCCTGATTTCAGGAATGGATTTTTATCTTGATGTTCCTGTTGAAATTTTGCCGCATATTTTTGGAACCATGCTTCTGATTTTATCCATCGTTGTATTGATTTTTGTTCTTCTAATAAACATTCATCTTCCCACATGCGCTTTAATATGTTTAAAGCTGAACAAGTAGAATAAATGTAAATTGCTTGGGATCTGCAGCATTTCAGTGCTCAGACCCCTCTACCTATATAAAAGTAGGAGAGGCTACAGGCTGGTTGGTGTTAAAATTCTAAACTAGGTAGCAAGCCAGAGGCAGGGTGTAAAAGCTGTGCGGCTCTGTGCCTAGCCATCATGCGTGTGTCAGGCATGGGGTTCCATGGCACTTGCATCTAAGCGAGGCCACTAGTTTGCCCGTTTGTTTATGGTATCCTAGTTGTCTCCCTTGACTCCTACAAAATATGCGGCCATTTTCATCCAACATTGTGTGTGTTGTATTATTATGATCTTGTTTCTCAATAAATTAGTAAAGTTACAATTGGTGTTTTCAATTCTCAGAGCTGTCTGGAAGACAGTCTCAGTATAATGGTATTGAAAAGGCAGAGAAAGCAAAATATCATGGGCTGCAATATTCAATTAATAAGGATTATTTCAGAAGGGTGGAATTTTAAACATCACAGAAGGATTTCTTTATTTTCTAGAAATTTACTATTTGCATGATTCCAACGAAGTAAGGCCAAAAAATATAAACCAATCCAGGCATCCATTATTTGTTTGAATCATCTATCCTTAATTTAAATAAATTTTTTGTTAAAATAAGAATTACAAAAAACATATTATTTATAGTGAAGCGGACATTGGTGAACTTTTGAGATTTTGAGGGACTGAGCCTGCCATTCTAGTATGTAAATGTTACTGAATGGCCTTATACTCGTATAAGGATTATAATTTTCAGTTTATTATGCTATAAAATGTAGATACAAACATTCTGAAATATGTCATCTTTCAGATGTTTTCTTTAAATTTTTGATTTTCATCAACAATGATATAGTTGTTTGACCAGTTCCGAATAAGAAACCGATTCGGCGGTGCTTTAAATATATATATTGGGCATTATTTTAAAATCTAAGCATTTTGACAAAGTAGTTTAATGACTTGAGGAATTAAATAATGTTTCGTAAGAGTTCAGCCATGCAAAATTGATTTAATTTATTCTACTAGTTATGAATAAGCCAACGAGTTCCGAATAAATTAGTGGTTCCCATGATTGAAATAACCCGTCCCACACATTATCTATTTACATGCCTGGGAAAAATTAAATACTTGATTACCAGTAAGTGAGTTATATTTCCAAAGAATAAAGAGAAATTAGGAATAGCAGGAGTTCACTATAGGATAACCCGCCTCCCATATAGACGGACGGACATCATCATGACTATATTATCCCCCTGCTTTTCAAGCACGTAAATAATAACATGCAGTCTCGTTTATAATGAAGAGAAAACAGAGAACGAACATATTATAATACAGTGTTTATAACGGAAATTAGGAACTAGTATATTGACAACACGAAAATATTCATCCAGTGTTCTAATAATTTACTATCGACACAATTGTGGTGTTTGTTAAACTACATATCAAACTTAATTGTGAAACCTGAAAAGTTATTCTTTAATATTACGACTGATGTATTTTAATAGCATTTCACACAAAAAATAATTAAAAATCTTATTTCATTTCAAAGTTATTAAAACTTCAAATTTTTTGGCGGGTTTGATTGACACATCCTTGCACTTTCACAAATCTTAACTAAGGATTAAGAATAAAGTTAAGATTTGTGAAATTGCCAAAAAATTTAAAGTTTTAATAACTTTTAAATGAAATAAGATTTTTAATTAACTTTTGTGTGAAATGCTATTAAAATATATCAGTCGTAATACTATAGAGAAAATATTAACTTCAAATCTGTGTCCAACAACCTTTAATGTTTTCTGATTGTGAATGATTGAGACGTACCCGATGAGCTTATGTTAAGTTGACATTCTGATACCTCGTTACACGATGAACAGTTACATTTCCCTACGCAAAATCGACCATAAAATCCATTAGGACAAGTGCGATTACAGTTAACACCAAATATTCCAGGTCAGCATTCTTTGAAATAAATAATGGGAAATATGAAAACATTAATTTTTTAAATGCAAGATATTTTTTTATCTGTATTTTCAATATAAGATAAATTGTTGATACTTGTTTTTACCTTCACATTTATTTTTAACTCTTCTGTAATTCGTGAAGCATAACAGTGGTTCTCTGTAAGACAACACAATGCTGCTATACTGCTCATTTGATTGAAATACATAATTAACTGAAGTATTTAAAAAACGAGTAATTCAAATGAATAATAAAAGAGAAATAAAACAACTCACTTGTTACAAATGCCACTAGGTACGGTTATTTGAGTATAGAATGAAAAGATGAGAAAACACCATAACAATTCCCAACTTAATCTTTTATTCATTTTGCATCAACTACAAGTTAGTACACTGACCGATCCTGTACATCGTATGCGAAAAAATGTCTATAATGAAAAGGGAAAAAATCCAATAAATAACTTACCTTTGTACAGCAAAACCCTGTTATAGCAAAGTTTGGGGATCTGTGAATTTTATTCCCTATATTCCTAATTCGTTATATCCGTATAACGAATTTGTAAAAGTATTCAAAGTGAATTAGCAATAATAACGTTTTTCTTTGAGTACGTCTACCGAATCTACTAGGTAATTAGCAGTTATTACAAAACATAACCTGGATAACTAAAGATTTATTATGAATTGATCTTTATATACCTTTACTTATCGAAAATGAATTCAGATTAATTTTAAATATTTATAAATTCATTGTAAAAAATGTAAAATTTCTTTTTTGTAACCTCTACGGGACTCAAAATCAGTTCGCTATATCCGTAAATTTGCTATACGAAAGTTCGTTATAACCGTAAAATTTTACAAATATCTGTTAAGAATTTTGCTGGGAACCCCGACAAACTTCGATATATCATTGAATTTGCCACCTCCGTGTTCATATTAAACGATGCTTACTGTATACCATTCGTACAAATGTTTTTCTTTAATTAAAAAAGAACAAAATATTAAAAATTCATTGCTTTTAAGAAAAAAAAAACATTTATGTTTGTTTGAAACATTTCATAATTACTTGGAGGCTGTTAGTTTACAGCATTGTAACAAATATAAGAACATAGAGATAAAAATTAACGAATACTGTGATGTTTCGAGTGATGAAAATAAAAAGTAAAGTTAAGCAGGTCGAGACTACTACATGTACCTTATATGGAAGGCGATTTTCCACACGTGACGATATCTTCGTCACACCCGTTCGCCAATCAAGTGAATGAGTCCCAAAGCACGACACTCTACTTTACGATTCCATGGCGACACGTGGTTTTCGTCGGTTTGTGGATAATATTCACTTCGTCATGATCACCGCAAAAACCGTAGAGCTTCTTTATCATTTTTTAAGTCCAAAATCAAAAGATTACATTCCAAAGACATTGTTTCATGCTCACATTTAATATTGGAGTTGTTTTAGATGATTAATATTTACTTCGAATGTTCGAATAATGTGCAAACTCTTTGATGTTTGCATGTACAGTAAAACTTTTTGATAAAATTTAGGGGTTGAATAATAATAGCGCACTTTGTACTGCTTTTTAAAACTATGTACACGTATATCACGTGAAAAAAACTCAATGCTTTATCGACACGAAAGCACCTGCATGTACGTCTCTTCGAGCATTGGTTTAGGCCGATGTATTATAGTTAATATAAGGCTTCATAAAGCAAATTTTGTAAATGTGAGCATAGAAATGAAAGATTATACATCATTTTAAATATTTCTTCCATAAATCTCAAAAAAGAATTGAAAATAAGTTTCCAATAGACAATTCAAGTTGGCCTTTATTTTCAACAGACTTCACTACTTGTAGTAGCCCATAATGCATTAAGACTCATTCATCAGTGGGTAAAGCAAACAAATAGCTAATTTACTTGCAAATTTATGTTGATCAGAAAAATTTAGTGGTCTCGACCTGTTAAGGCAACAAGAACTTTAATTGATGATATTCTTAAGGTGATGATTTTAATTATGCCTCGTGGGGAAATAGCACATTTAGTTACGTTTGATAATTTTGTTCCTATTTAAATTAAAAATGCAATGCAAGGTTTTTTTTTATCTGTTTCACATCTTTAACATTTGCTTTTTCCAAAAATAGCCAAAAACACTTGAACCGATTACCTTCCTTATTATAATTTAAATTTTGTGTTAAATTTGGATGATTTTACCCGTGAGAATCTTATACAATTGCATAACTATAGAAATTAATTTATACGCAATGCATTACTCTAGATATTACAATTATTTTGTTGTTTAATTATTTTAAATGCTGCGATTAGTTTACACATGGGTCATATCTTCTTTGATATTACATAAAGAACGGTACCAAATCTCTGCATCAGTCAAATAAGGTCTAAAACAATAGCAGAACTGTTTTTTTTTCAATGAAGCATAAAAAATCTTAAGTACATTAAACATTAACAGAATTTCTTATGATAAAACCTCTTATAGTTATTATTAAGCTATTATTAAGCAGATTGTGAGATTGTATTCGCACAATACCTTCTGAAAAACAATACCAAATGTTCATCATGCTTCTTCTATTAACTGCACACTATGAGTTTCTACAAACAAAATATGAAAAAGTACTTCATTTTCAAATTGATAAATGTTTATCTTCCTTATGAGTACTTCAAACTAGAAAGCAAACAGTACTCAATATTAAAGTCCATAAAACAATAAAAAAAAAAAAATAGCAGAGCAAACACGTATCTTCAAAACATCAGAGGTGGGATCAGGTGCAAAGGAGGAGTGAGCATCCCCTGCCGACCGGTCACACCCGCCGTGGGCTCCTTGTCATGATCGGAAAATGACGAAAAAATCCGTCGTCAATTCAGTATATAAATAATGGACTACCAATTAGTATGACAAACGTCAATCAGCACTTGACTCAATGATTAAATGTATTTTTTCTGACAAGGTCATTGTATCTACCATAGATCTAACTAAATGATTACTTAAAACGAGACTGCTGATATCCTTGTTTGTCAATAATAAAATTACCTCGTTTTAGAAATTTTTCATACGTGGAGCATGCTCTTGCGTATCGAATCAACTGAGATATAAGAACTCTGCACCTGAAGAAAGTATATTACTTCATAAATAAGGAACGTTCACGATAAAAAAGTTAAAATTATCACGTTTATCATAGAGCTTGGTTTAATTACCATTAACGTCTTTTTGCAAGAGAATATCCAAATATAAACAACATACATGTATAGACTTGAGTTACTATATGTATTTATACATTCTGAAATGTGTAAACCTATAGGTTTAGAAAGACATATTGTTTGAACATTTTAAACTTAGATGACGATATTAATATCATAATCATTTTTAGTTTTTAGCAGTGAAAATAAAATGACATAAAGGTTTATTAAATCAGAATGTATATTATTAGTGACGCAGATTCGGTGACTTTATAATTGGAAAAAAGACTGTTACAACACACTTTGAAAAATTATGCACTTTGAAAAAAATTTTCAAAGTGCATTAAAATTTGAAAGCTAACGCACTTTGAAAAAAAAATTTTTTTTTTCAAAATGCTTAATATCGACCATTTGCCACTTTGAAAAAAAAGTAAAGATTGATAATATTCCTTCAAATAATCGGTATGATAAATAACAGATTCTGGTTTGATAACCTTTTTTTTGATAAAGTCACTGTAGGACCTGAGATATTGACGTTTTAAATACTAGTATTTAAGGTTTTCATAAAATAAAAAGGGGAAAAATTTAAAAGGGGCCCTTGAAAAAAAGAGTGACGATTGTTTAAGTTCATTAATTCTTTCTTCTTTTTTTTTTATTCTTGTCTTTGAAAAGAAGATGTTAAGGTGTATAGGGGACACTAATAGAGGACAGCGTCAAGCAACTTAGCATTTATTATAATAAAAAGGGGCAAATTTGATTGTTCAAAACTATGAAAATTCTTTTTCTCTCATACGTTTTACTGTACTTAAAAATTTCTACTTTTCATGTTTTTTTTAAAAAGAGTATTCTCTGTAAGGACCACGGATGCCGTTCAAACGAATATCACAGATTTTAATAAAACATATATGAAAATATTATGAATGTGTATGAGATTTATTAGGTATATTTAAAATTTTGGGATGTGACCTATCCTCCAGGTTATGGCCCCCTTACACATTTTGTGGCTACCACAATGTTTGAAAAGGTCAGTTTTCTCCTAATTTGACTTAAAAAAATCAAAATAAATAATGGACTAGGGTTGGATTAAGTGCATTAAATTGTGAAAACAAGGTGTGAATAAAGATAAAAAATTATTTTGCTTTATCATTAACACCCCTTTTTATTTTAAAGAAATTTAATTTCCTCCCATTTTTAACCCTTAACCAATATGCTAAATTACCATAATTTCAGTGCCCTTTTAAAATTCCCAAAATAGGATTATAAAATATTAACAATATTTTGAAAGCAAACATACTTGATTATTTATTCATAATTATTCTGGGTGTGTGTTTTTTGATTTAAAAAAATAAAACGTATTTGAAAATTGAAAAAAAACTAGCATTTCACAAAAAATTATCTCCCTTTGTAGAAATCTCAGTTCCAACAGTGAAAGGAGGTAAAAACAAAAGTATTTGTAAACATGACTCTTGCTGGTTTGGAGTTCCTTTTTACAAGCTATGTGTTTTATTGATATTTTTTTAAAAAATGCTTAGATTATACAGTATAGCTTCCTTGGCAGATGTGATATTGTTTGTTCTGAAGACATTCAACAACTCGTGAGTTTCAGCATATGTGAATCCTTGTACAGTTGGCATTGTAACATTATTGTGAGAAATTTTTCAACCTCAGCTAGCTCTGTTGTTTTGTACTGGGATAGACAGGGACCCCTGTGTGTGTACATGCACTATATACACAGCTGTTGACACTTGGTCAACTTGATAATAAACACCTTTTGTTTAAAACCCCGGGTTCTGCTGTCTACCAACCCCCCCGGCAGGGCATGTGTATATACATTGAACCTTTACTATTTTCAATTGTACAGTCATGCTTTACACACTTCACACATAAGGAAATATGAATTTTGTTAATTTTGATAATTCATGACAAATTAATAAATAAAGACCTTTTAAATTAGTAATAACTGAAAA